GGCGGCGGCGGCGGCAACGAGCGCAGCCCGAAGCCCCCCGAGCGCAGCCTCACTGTCTCTCTCCGCTTCACCCGCCCGCCCGCCTCTTCCGGCCACGCCCCCTCGGCGGTCTGGCGGGCGCGCATCTTCGTGTCCCAGGCCTGCTGGGAAGGCGAGTTTCATCGCCACCCCGTCCAGCTCAGCGTTCCGCTGAAAAAACGCGGGCACTACAGCTCCCAGCAAGCACTGCGCGGGGAGGCGCCCGACCCGAAGGGACTTAGAAAGGGAATTAGCTGCAAAAAGACGGAGGGGTGGGGTGTGATTGATTGATTGATTGATTGTGGGCGTGATGAAAGTTGTAGCCCAACTCATCGGGAGTGCGCAAGGCTGGCTTTGAGAAGGTCCAGCTTAGAATCTCCCGTTAGAAAGGATCAAAGAGCTAGCAAGTATCTGAGAAAAGAACATTTCTGGCTGGGATGTTTGCCGCCGATGGTAGTAAACACAATATGCAGGTTATTCGACGCTGTTTGATTGACCTGCACCAATAATTGTAGCCTTGTATTCTGAAACAAAGTTCTAGGTTACCACAGCTATGACTATTTCTGATCCGGTTAGCGGAGCATCCTGTCCCACAAACTGGCCATGTTTAGCCAGTGTATGATTAGCTGGCTTTGCAAGTCTGAAAAATTATGACTGAAAAAGGCAGGGTTTGTTAAAACCATGGATATGCGTGGCATCAACAGCCTCCACAGTGACACCTTTGTTAAACCATCCTACCTAAGCATCAGAAAACCATAGGCAAAAAACTTCTGCATTCTTCAGAACTTTTCATCGGTCAGAATATGAGCCTTAGCCAGCTTGTTGTACTCAAGATGCCTTTGCACTTCATCTCTCGGAATCCTCGGCATGCTGCTTGCCCTGCTGGCAAAGAATGCTAGCAACTGTAGTCCTAACATATCGTGAAGATGAGTAGTGGGGGAGGCTGAACCACATGCTAGACTACGCCAAAAAACAAAAAAAAAGGGGGGGGGAAGGCCAATGTTGAAACCATGGAGTCTGCACAATTACAGTTTTCAGAAGGAACGTGGGAAGAGAGCGCGCGTTCAAAGTAGAATCTCTCATGTATGGTCATGCCTCTGAGATTGCTGAAATGAACAAGAGTTGGTCCTCTACTTTTGAAATATAAAATTCTGCCTAATAGGTTATCCAAATATGTGTCTGTTTACAGGTGAAATGCATGGCTTTATTAACATAAAACCAAAGGGGGGGGGGAATACTAAGTCATAAATCACGTTTAAACCACAACAGCTGTATTCACAAAATCAGCCAAAACAAGCTCCATTATGCCTTAAGACACAGAGTTTTCCTGAGTTTTGATTTTGCCACTGTATTTTGTGAAATACGATTTGTGCCTTAATGGATTGTTTGAATGGGCACTTTATATATTGAATTGGCAGGCAACTTACCTTGGTTAAAAAAAACTGGACAATAATGTTACTGTTACAAAGTCAAATTAGAATATCATCTTAATTAAGATAAGCCAGTTAACATATGTTTTATCAAGTTATATGCATGAAATTGTCATGGTGAAGAAACTGGGATAAAAATCTTCTAGGCCCAAGGGACAAATTGTACACTACAACATAACAAAACAAAATAGATTTTATTCAAATTAAGCATATTTGTTAGCACCTCAGGATAACCAGGAAAATAGAACAGTCCAACATAGATAACCAGTTCAGCAATCCAATCAACTGAACATGTTTTAGTGCATAATGATGGTAGAAAAGTACCACAATGGTCACAACACACACCTTCAAAACACTCTCAGCCAGCTAGAATGCACAGGCATTTATTTACAGAGAGAGAAAACCGATGTATTGCCCAAGATCCTAAAAGATGAATATGAGCAAAACAAAAGGTGTGTGCTCAAACCTGACCTAAATGCAACACTCAATAGCAAAGATATCTGCAGTTTCCTTTCCTGTATCAGAAGCACAGGGCAGCACTGAAATCTACATTTGGAGTTAGCAATTAAATCCAAAAATAATAGCAAACGATGGACATTGTTCTTGGAACTTCTAGTCAAAAGAACTGGAAATAATTTCTCACTGACTACAGCAGAGAATTCATATAACCCCAATGAATGTAAATCCTAATTTCTACTGTCATATCCTATACAGTCATTTACACCAACTGCAGAAGAATGAAAGAATTAGATGGGTCTTATGACATAGTATAAAAGGGAGAAAGAATAATCATGTTAAACATACACTTTCATCATAGTATGCTTTCAAGCTTTTAAAATTATTTTACTTTCATTGTTGTTGACATGTACAACATATATAACCAATACATATGCCTGTGGTTTCTACTGATATTGATATTAAAAAAAAATAAAAAAATACTGTAACCAAATTTTTTTAAAAATTGGACAGCTGGCCATTCTGATCCTCATCAATTTCAGCAAGTCACAGCAGCTCCAACAAAATAAATGTTTAAGCCTGGAAATGCAAAAGTCAGTGTGCTTATTAATAAGATAACGCAAAAAGATGTGACAACTTAAAAAAAACCCCACCCTCAACCTATATTTTACTGTTTCCTTCCTTTTAATTTAAACAAAAGTCTGAGTATCCCCTAAAGAGCTGAAAAGTCAATGTGCTGTGGTTCATATTTGAAATATATTCTAAAGAGAGGCAACTACATATCTATATGGATGGATGCAGAGAAATTGACATAACTTTGTGACAAAAGTAAGTCCTCTTTCATCCTCACACATCTTTTAAGACAAATGGCAACAGTTTCACAGAGATATAAGCTGAGCACTGACTTCCCCAATTGAAGTTGTACCAGACTACAACCTAAACCTATACGATGTCATGATTAGAGATTATAGGAGTTGTAGTTCAATGCATCTGGAGAACGTCAGGGTGAAAAAACTGTTTAGGACTTGAACTATGTACCCGTTCCTCTCAAGCTCACTTATCAATCTATATGCATGGTATTTTTTTTCAAGTCTTGAGCAAATATTGATGATTCTGAAGTAGAAAGGTGTGCATAATCATGGGTAGTTAACCTCATTCCTCTTATGTGAGGGAGACTGTACCCCAGAAAAGTATAAAGGAAAAGGAAGGATACTGCTCCTTACAGGTTTTCCAGGGGAAAATCCATTTGTTGTAAACTGAAGCAAGCAACGTTTGCATGCCCAGAAGGACATGGTTCATGAAATGATGGGAAAGCCACAACAGCCTTGTCAGCTCTGAAAGAGGAATAGAAGCACAACAGTAACTCCAACAGCAATGCGGAGATAACAGACATCCTGATATCCTCTTTAAATATTAAGGATTCATTTCGGCAATAGAAATGGCACACTCTGCATCAAAAGGTTTTGGGGGGGGGCAAGGGGAGAAGAAATACCTACAACTCCCTTTCATAATAAGGAAAGATAAATGCACTGATGGCTGTGATTTTTAACATGACATTTACTTCAGAATAATCCTGGTACAACGCTGTGACACAGTGCCCTGGCCATCTTTATCTACTCCAGTATAAATGATTACAACTCAAGTGTGCCTGTCTAGAAAGTAATTAGTTCTTTCCTCAAAATTAGCTTTGTACAACATGTGATTTGGCTGCAGGTGGCAGGAGCTCACGGTCTAGCTTTACTAGGGTAATGCTAAAAAGAGACTCGTTCCAACCGAGTCAGCATCCCCCAGAGTACCACAGCAGCTATGGACTTGCCACCATGCTTGGAACAGTATCTAATACAAGGAGTACAGCGTAAGCCCAGAAACCCAGGTCGTCTTTTTAAAAGTATTGCAGCAGAGTCTCAGTGGATAGTTCTCAGTGGGATAAATGTTAAGGACACGTGTTTAGGTCCTGTTAATTAAATCCAGGCCGGCTCACACAAAGAAGCCTGAGCTTTGGAAGCAGAGAACCAGGGGCTCAGAACTGGTCACTCACCCGCGGCAGGGTAGAGCTGCCTAAACAGGGCTAAAAATGTCATTTGGGCAGCTGTGCTGGAGCACCATTTGTCTTGACAACTGCTTTCCCCCTGCAAGTTTTTTTGCCCAGCGCAAGATCCCCCGTCCGGCACATTCGTGGCAACTGAGGAGCCAGCAGCCAACCCCAGGAGGGGGGCGGGTGGGTGCGCCTCAGAGGCCATGGCGCTTGCGGGCCCCCCCAGCCATGCTGGCGGCATGCAGCAAGCGGTCCTTCTCCCTGATCTCCTCGCGCAGCTGGGCCTCGGCCAGGCGGAGGCGCCGGATGCTGCCCTTCATCTCCTTCATCTTGACTTCCAGCAGGGCGATGATGTCCCGTTGCTCGTTCAGCTTGCGCAGCAGCTCCTCCGACGTGGTGCCCGACGAGAGGGAGTAGGAATGATCCGGGGGGCTGTCCACCAGGGGCCCGTTGTCTGCCAGGAACGCCAGGTGCACAGGGGCCCCCACCATGGCCCCGGGGCCCCCGAGTTCCACCTGCACCGTCAGGTCGATCGGCTTGACATCCT